CAATGACAACAAGCGAGAGGCCTGGAAGCCGACCACCACCACTCGCCACCACACCGGAACCTTTTTAGACCGCCAGAAAAGGTAAAAACTTCTCATTTTGCACGAAAATCAATTTAAGCTCACCCATGGTCAAATCAGAGTAAAACGACTAGCTGATTGGCCGAAAAACACCGGCAGCGCAGCCGCAGAAAATTTAACAAAATGCATCCGATGAGGCCCTTCCCGATTCCCGTTTCGCGTAATTTTTTCACCATTGTGATCACCGTTTTCTTCTCTATAGGTTGACCAAAGCAAAACACCTAATCGCAACGTGAGCCAGAGGAGCAGCTGCACCTGAGAGCCCCGCCACCAGTAAGTTTCAATTTTTCGTATTTTTTCGGCCAACCGAAACCCTTTAACGTATTTTCTCGCATGGATAGATGCAAAATCAGACGACCCGAGGTGGATTGCCGCCGTGCTGGAATTCTGAAATTGGTCGAGTGGGTCCTGAGACTGATTTTGAGTTTATTTGGAACATTTGTATGTATTATTAGTGCATTTCGGTTCCCGAAGAAAAATTCAGAGAACCTAGGGACCCCCGTAAGCGCAGTGAACAGCAAAGCTTTTCGGGTGTCAAAATCGAGTAAGGATCCCTCACCCTATTCTCTGTCATAGAACTGAAGTTTAAATAAATAATAATATGGTATTTTGTGCGATTTTAGCAAACATGCATAATTAATAACGGATTGCTAATGGAGCCGGAACCGAAAATTATCTACTGTTGTTGTTGATTGTTTTTACAGTTTACCTGCATAATGGTATCATATTAAATTGTTTTATGGCTTGAACGCATGTATGGTTTATTTTAAGTGTTTACTGCTGAATCGAAAAAAATGAAGTTTAAAAGGTAAAGAAATTGTGTGATTAAATGACTAGATGAAACGACAATCTTACTGGATATCCTGGGAGATGGTGGACGGATCGGGTACATAGTAAATCCTACCGTGAAGGTTGTCTCATACCGGAAGGGGTATGGAGACTTGATAATTTGGCGCTCATACCGGACGAGGTATGGGGACGACCCACTTCACCCTCATACCAGATGGAGTATTGAGGTTTGATAAATTGGTACTCATACCGAACGGGGTATGAGGACGGCCCATAATTGAGAATGATAAATAAAAGGGTTCACGTGCAGCGGGAGCATCTCTATGAACCTCCATGAATACTAGCAGAATGGTGAAAAGAGTGGTACTTATTGTTGGGATTATTGATAATAAATATGGATTTATAATATGTATTATGATGGCTGATTATGCATGAAATATTGGTCTGTATGATATTATTGTTCTTACATGTTATTTTCATAAATTCCACGATGGTAAGTGAACGAGAACTAATTTTATGATTGATAAATGAATTTGCTAAATTTAATGCTGCATTAGTGGTTTCCGATTTTATACCAACCTTTACTTCTGTGTCGGTGATATAGTGTGATATCTTTACTGGGCTAGTATAACTCATCCTTTATTTAACCATTTCAGATCAAGAATACCAGGTTCCAAAGCCCGATCCACAAGAAAATTGCGAGTAGATACTAGATATTTCTACTTTCTGTTTGTTCCCTTATTTCTGTGTTTCATCAAAGATGAATTCCATATGCTGTTTAGTACTTTTAGTATGTGCAGAATGTAAATGT